GGTCAAAGTGACCCGCATACCCCACCTGGGGAGGTTGGCACGCTTGTAGTTGAATTTAGCAGAACAATCTGACATACTTAATTAACCTATTTTCAATTGCCTCTATATCTGTAGTCCACAATCTGCCATTTGTAGTTGTAACATTAAAATCCCAATAAATGACATATTTCGAAAGAACAGTGTCCAAGTCTATTGCAGCAGGCCAACGGAATGTATTGTTCTTTTGCACTGAGCATTGCATGAAATTAACTTCAGCCTCTTCTGCGCTATAAATTGTCACAACCTGTCCAATATAATACTCATGTTTGAGTCCATCGTTGTAATAGACAGCTACCCACATACCCTGGTTTTTAAACTTGAAGTTGTGTTGATTGTATTCATCATCAATGGACTCTGAAAAAAATAAAATAAAAATTAATGTACAGTACTAGATATATGCTCTACTTATGTGTTATTATATTATATATAATATATATATTATATATAATTATAAACATAACTATAGAAAAATATTTGTTTACGATATGCAAAAAATAAAATATTAATAAAGTTATTGAAAGTTGCAACAGAAATAAAACCCCTGTTTATTCAAGTGGAATAGTCCATTCAAAATCTTGTATATAAATCCCGATGTGGACTAGTCCATTATTCATTATAGGTATATAGATAATATATCAACGCCGGGATGTACTACGATAATCTTCAATTAATACACATAAATTGCGAACTATATAATATTTTATCAATAATATATCATAGCCTAACTAACAAAAGTCAAATTGACGTTTTTGTTTTGTTTAGGAACTGTTTAAAGCCCAAGCCCTCAAATCAACGTGCGAACCCAGGGAAGAAGCATTATCAAATTTCATCAGTCGCCGCCGTGACGAGAAAATCATTCCTAGTATTATTAATTTAGCATCGTAAACGTCACTTGAGTTTTCAATATTACTACTTTAAAATATATCCAGAATAGTTTTAAACCATGGAAGCAAGCCAAAACATCAATATAAATTTTAAAACTCGACAAATTTTAATTTTAAGCTAGGCGTAAAACACTGAGCAAACTAGGCCCTAGGCCCTAACCTATATCACTGCGAAGAATGGATTTGCGGTGGAAACGCAGTTTCTTAGCCAGTGACGCCGATAACGGCATTTTAAAAGTAATATTTAAAATGGCAGTTCCCTTCAAATATATATATTAGAGTTAACTTAATAATCAAAAATAATTAAGAATATACGTACCGATTTCACGAAGTATCCACGGTTGAAACGGATCATCGTCCGCATCAACTGTGACATCCACCATAGTGTTTTGTCGTCTGGTTGGCTTATTTTTCAGCTTGAGAGTTAAACAAGTGAGCATCGATTTTCTGGCGGCGGCGGTTCGCCGTTCCATCAATCGTTCTCCTTCCTTCTTCTTTGAAAAATAGCTCAAAATTAGATCTGAAGTTTTGAAAAAGTTTCCTAGCGATTTTTAGATATCAAAATAGGGCAGAAATACTTTAAATTTGGTACCTAGTTGAAGCCCAATTATTGGAGAAAATATTTTTGCCATTGGTTATTCTCCTTTGTTAACGGCCTCCCTCCGCTGTCATAGTTTTCAATAGGTACTTTCATGGGCTGTGCGCGGCGCCGCCAGGTTTGCTAACCCAATTCTCTACTGAGTGACTATACTTCTAGTACGTTTTATATATGTTTATTGTGAATGGATTTGAATATATTTAGTACCATATGAAAGATATGAAATAAGCTTTACAAAGGTGTTTTTAAAATTTATATTTGATAAATAGTTTTCAAGAGAGACTCAATTAAAAAAGATGAATATCATTCCAGTTTCCGGAAATTCCACTAAAAACCTGCATAGTTTACACTTCCTTGCCGGTACCTACTTTTACCCAAAAAAGTAGGTTGTGACGAACATAAAATTACAATTTTTTTAAACTGAGATACCAAGTAAGTCCAACACTACATGATTCAATCACTATCACAAGGTTTGGATGGGGTTTGCACTGTGTTTTTGGAGGTTTGCGGTGTTTTTTTAGGTATTTTTAACAAAAAATGGCCTTTTTACCCAAAAAATAGGTTGTTACAAACACAAAATTATAATTTTTTATTTACCGAGATACCAAGTGAGTCCTACACTACAAGATTCAATCACTATCTCAAGGTTTTGACGGGGTTTGCACTGTGTTTTTGGAGGTTTGCGGTGTTTTTTAGGTATTTTTAACAAAAAATGGCCTTTTTACCCAAAAAGTAGGTTGTTACAAACATAAAATTATAATTTTTTTTTTACCGAGATACCAAGTGAGTCCTACACTACATGATTCAATCACTATCACAAGGTTTGGATGGGGTTTGCACCATGTTTTTGGAGGTTTGCGGTGTTTTTTAGGTATTTTTAACAAAAAATGGCCTTTTTACCCCAAAAAGTAGGTTGTTACAAACATAAAATTATAATTTTTTTAACCGAGATACCAAGTGAGTCCTACACTACATGATTCAATCACTATCACAAGGTTTGGATGGGGTTTGCACTGTTTTTTTGGAGGTTTGCGGGGTTTAGCAATACCCAATAAAAACTTATCTTTGCATACCTAAATTGGATGGTAATCAAAATGATTTTCAATCTGTCTACCATTGGAATAATTTATAACATTTTATGCCTTTGATTGAAAATTCATTGTACAACTTAAATTTGAAGGGTTTTCAGGTTTTTTCATGGACAGTATATGCTTAAGTTTGTAATGTTTTGACAAATTGTCAGTCATTTCAATGTCTCTATATGCCCTAGTGAAGAACAATGTTTCCACAAATTGGGTTAATACTAAAAGCCAAGGAAACAAAAAGAGAAATTATGGTTTATGGTTAGGGTTCTCATTTTCATAGTTCAATCCTGGGGTAAACATTTTTTCTCACAACTAATAATAATTTCACTTCCGAAGTAACATAAGAGCATCTAGATGGTCCCAAATAATCAGTTTTTACTGTTATGGTTTGCCATCATTATATATGACATAATTTAAACAAAATGCTACATAGAAAAACTGTAAATATGCAGACTTTAAATTGATTGATAATAATCTTGTTTATAAACTTTCACTTGCACTAATTATTTATAACTATTAATTTCTCTCATCCGTCAAAATATAGTTTCTATCACTCATCATAAAAATTATAATTGCATAGGCCTAATTATCTGCTACTAATCAAAACTTTGAAATGCAGTGCATTTCAAAAACTTACAGAAAACGCAATCGTATGACTTTTAAAACAATGTCATTATTTGTTAGCCTTTAGAAAGAGAAGTTGTGTATGTGAATTCAAAGTTTGGTCAAAGCTATGAGTGTCAACTGCCTGACTTATCTGATTTTGAGAAGAGCCAAGAAGAGGAAAAAGTTGCCTCGGAAATCGGTATCGCTGAGCTGTTAAAACCAATGGAAGATGCACCCTGCATAGTTATGGTAAACATAATTCGAATTTGTTTATGTCAGAGGAATCGGTGATTTTAAATGCCTATTATATTATCTGTATCTTTGCAGTACCTGCTCTATTTATTTACAACAAAATTACCCAGTTTTATAATCATTGTATTCTATATTATATGAATAATTATATAATGCATAATTCTGAATTTCAAAAACATTACCTAATAATTATGTTTCATTACATGTTTAGAAAGTCATTATAATCATCATTATCAATAAAAAAGTAATTAATCCATGCTACAGTAGCATAGGTTGGACTTTCCTCTAGTCATTTCTATTCTGTACAATTGCATGGCTTATCTTTAGCTTACAGAGATCACTCTGTCTTCCTAGGCCTTCCTCTACCTTTGGACCCCTCAACTTCCATCACCCTATACTTCTTTACCCATGTCTTATGTATATCTACATGATTGACATACTGTGCTATATATGATATTTTCAGTAATTACCATATTGTACTGTCCAACTTGATATAAACAAACAATAGTTTATGATACCACCATATGGTATACCATAGAGGAAACAGCTACATAGTTAAAATCATTTTTTAATATTAGTTATTCTTATTATATTTCATGAACAGTAGGCATGGTTATTTATTATTTTTTGTAATAAATTTTCTTTGATACTGTATTTACTATTTGTTTAATTTCACTGCACAATATTTTGAAACTAAAAGCTGTATTTAACAAATATAAGTCATTTAAATTATATATATACTGTAATATGAACCCCAAAAAGTTGATAAACATTACTTTATCTTTCGGGTTTTTTTTTAAACATTCTTATCCTTATGATTGTGTTGTGTCCCGCTTTTTGCATAGTTGTCATTTTTAAAAGTTTTATTTCGGTTCACTTTTGAATGTTTATTGCGGGTGTGTGTAACTCTGTCTGTCAGTATATTTGTGTGTGATTGTTAAGTTACATTTTGCACTTTATTTTTTCTATTTTATTATTATAGACACAAGGATGGTGGTCCTATGAATTTTGTTATGGAAAAGACATAAAACAGTATCACATGGAAAATGGTGTACCACAAGGAGACATCATATTTTTAGGACTCTATGAATCGCAGATGGATTGGAGTAATACATCGCACAAGGATGCGAAACGACACAAACTGAATCGTTATCACAGCCACACATATGTCAACGGTACAGAATGTGATCTGAATGGTAAAGCCCGAATGGCTGAAGTGAGAGTAAGTTTAGTCTTTAGATTATTTTAGCCTATGATTTTTTTCATTTCAGATTTAAAATTTATCAATAAGAAAATAATAACCCTTGTGGTTAGACCATTTTGTTTAAAAAATATGGTTTTATGAATAACACTGGTTTGTTGCCTCATTATTTTGATTATATTATTCTGACTGCTGTCAAAAAAATAACATGTGTTTTGCCTTAAATAGAGAAATGTGATTATTTGATCTATTATTGATTATTTTGATCAATTGTGTTAGACAGTTGTTTATTAAACAAAGGAGGCTGTGAAGAGTTGGTTGAAGTGAGAAACTGGTATGCTTTAATATTATAGCATGCTGAAATTATTAGATTTTTTTTATCTCTGATTATAGAAATTTAGTGAAAAATTAAATTTTAAATCTGATCTATGTCAGCCAGTTTTGTAGTTTAAACGACACATACAGTACTTTATTGAATACATTTTGCATTCAACTGTCCATATTTATATGTGATAAATGTAAACATACATGGACTATCATTGACTATATTATTATCATGGTGGTGAGTTTAAAGTGCATAGCAATATATATAATACAGATAAATTCATACCCTCTTCTACTCATTGTGCCTTCTTTATGCACTTTCCTCTTTAGTTTGTTTGTTCAGAAGGAGAGGGTGATGCGATTGTTCGAGTGAATGAGCCTGAATCTTGCGTGTATATCGTCACCATCCAAACAACACGTATATGCCACCACCCGTACCTCCGTCCCCCTCCTAGCCTGAAGCCACGGCCTATCCTATGCTTTCCTGCACTTGATCATATGCAGTATACTGAATTCATTCATAAGAAAGAAGGTAAGGTTAACAATAAAGAACTGCTGATGTTGTCATGCTAATTGTATTTGAGCCCACATTAAAAATTTAAACCTGATTGTTTGGTTTGGCCATGCTTCTTTGGTATTTAAGGAAGTAGTCTGCAAAGTGGTTGCATTTTTTTTTGGCAGCAAGTCCCACATTTGTGTACTTGGGCAAAGAATGTTATACTTGTCTCTCTCCAATCAAGGAGAATATGTGAAATTAGTAGGAATAAAAATCTTCTTGAAAGAATTCTGTTTGTGTCTATTGCAATATAATACATCATATCAAATTTTACATATCTCATAATAATACAAGTATTTTTTTGTGAAGTACATAGAAACCCAGGTTCTAAGGGTCAGAAAACTACCTATAAGAAGAAAATATTCAGTCACCATGACGATGTAAGAACTGCACCAAATGTCAGAACCTTTAAAAAGCTTTTGTAAACTAAATGTTTATTAACAAGTGTTACCGGTGCATGTTCATTGAACATTTATATTTGTAAATTGTATATTTATTACTATTACCGGTATTCTTTTCCTTTTCTCGTTTTAATATTGTTATAATGGAATCACGGCCCTGTTGAAAAACACCTTTGGGTGATAAGCTTCTGTGTGTAAATAAAGATTTTATTATTATTTTTATTATTATTATTATTATTATTACTATTATTATTATTATTATTATTATTATTATTATTATTATTATTATTATTATTAAAAATTGATGAACATCTGTAAATAAGCAGTGGGCTGTATTGATAATCCTTTTAAAATTGTGTTGTGTGCTCTTTTCTCGTTTGTACATTTTACCACAATATTTTGTGAAAAAAAACCATTTGGTTGAAAAGTGTGTCATGCTAAATACTGAAATTTAAAGTTATTGTAATGTAGACTTTATTGATTATATACACATGCCATGTAATTTTATTAAACAACTGAATTTTAACATTTAAAATTATTTAAAGTTAAAACCTACCTAAAAAGTTCAAATGAATTTTGAATAGCTCTTTTAAAAGGAACATATAAATTTCGTATAAGTAAAAACACCACAAGGCACTTTTTAAAGCAAGTAATAGACTTTAATCCTAATCGCGGACTCATTGAGCCCGATTGTATAGCAAACATGTTTCGAGAAAATGATTCTCATCATCAGTGCGAATGATGACAAATTTTGCCAAAGCTTATATGGTTCTATACACATGTATGTAAATAAGCAAATTAGAAAAGCGACTAATGAAGCAAACCACAAAACGTAGACACCACCCGTCAC